GTGCACCCCATGTTCTCCTCATCTTCAACAGAGTCACGCTCACTGAGGCGCTCTGTTAGGAAAGCAAACAACTCGGCGCTAACAAAAATTAAATCCACGTTCTCTTATTTTGCCATTGCAAAAAATAAGCTTAGCATTATCGGCAGCAGCCCGCACTTATTTTTAGCTTAAGAGGCGACGTAACTAGCGATGAAAGCGCCAGAGAGAGAGTTTCCACAGCCGACGAGAAAAGCAAAACTGCCCGTGCGGAATTAAAGACCAGAGGCATACAATGTGTCTTCAGGATACCACGTCGTAAACTAGGAATGGCATGCAAATTTCTGAGTTGCTTTTATAAATACGGCAACGTAGGCTAGCCCGTCTGGCGTTCGCTTCACCCACCAAACGGCTCAGCGGTTCCTCCGACAGAAGCACTTCATACAGCTTTAGCTGCTCTGGAGGTCAATGGAAGCCAAATGCTGAACCAACGATTCCCAGAGGTATTTATTTTAGAGACTGCAACAGCACAAACAAAATTCATGCTGACACCTGCAAGCATCAGCTAAAACAGTCCAAAAATCTGATCAAACTAGTAGAAAAGTGATAAACTGCATCGCGCCACTGAGAAATGCACCAACGAACACTGGAAAACCGCGCTGCCCATTCATCAAAACGAAAATGGCAACAACTAAACGTCGTCTTGGCTCCGCTCGAATCTGCCAGCGCTATACACGACCTGCGAAAAATTTTTGTCAGCTGATAGCGGGTGTCTTCTCCTCACCGGTGTGCGGGCAATTACAACCCAGACTCGGACGCATCAGGTAAGCCGGTGCGAGTGCGCGTTTTTGTGCCAGACTTGAAGTAATCAGGTTAACTGCATGAACGGTTATTTCCTCACAACTACCTTGTGCGCTCAGTACCTTAAATTATCGTAAATTTTGCATAAAAGAAATAAACAATTTCCGTTTAGCGGTCGTTTTTATGCGTTTTTGCCTATATGCAAATTGCAATAAATGGCCAACGCACGGGCTGACCGTGCGAAGATGCGTTTTTTGCAGAGTTCCCCGCAGGTTT